ATCCACTGTGCATCTCACACTCACACAGCAACCCATAATGCAATACTGTGATGTAAGAGCTTGATAGCCTATGTATGATACAGAAATAATTCCTAAACTAAACCTTCAAGAGGCTTACAGTTCACACAGATTACATAATATTAAGGCGGTGAAACAATTAGTTACTTTAACAATCTTAATCTCACACAAAGCTTTATACTTTTCGGTTCAATGAATCAAAGACTAATAAGGCTAATAGTTCATTTGTGCAGCTGATATAATCCTCTGTACTCCTTATTGTAGGATTGGCAGAGAGCCACTGACTTCTGAAATAAGCCAAATTACTTATTTTATTTACCATATATATATAAGTTTTTACAGGTACTAAAACTGACATTTTCAGCATCTAAACGTACAAATACTTACGTATTTTCGGCATTTAAACGTACAAAACTGATAATTCATAGAAATGTATCATCCTCTCTTTCCTCCTCTCCCAATTTCTCCTCTTCATTAAGAAGGTCATGGGTCACATTTGCAATAATTCAGCTTAAAGAATGCACAGTTTCATCTGCTTTTTGAACTCGACTCTCTGCTTCCTCAGGAGAAAATAAGGTTTTCGAAAAATGAGAGTTTGATGCTAGTCAATCAAGATTTGCAGAGAACGGGACATGTGTGTTTAGCAAGAGTGGCCGTTTTGAGCTCTGAACATCTTAATAGCCCATAATGAATGGTTTCCTGAGAATAGCAACAATGCGAAATGAACTCGGCAACCCATGTTTTCAGAAACGCAGGAAGGCTTTTTTTTATTCCCAGACAGACATAGATCAGCAGTGCTGGACTGAAGGGTTGCGACTTGTCTGTCCAGATAAGATTGCGCACAGCAGGGGGGAAAATTATGCTAAATAGGCCTACTTATAATTAAATGCAATTGATTATATAATTGTGGATAGTTAAAGCAACTGGATGCAGTTTTGTTTATTTTTACGACTTTAGAGCCCCCTACAGTTAAGTGAGTTCACGGCAGTAAATACATCACTATGGTAATTACAGTGGATAGCTGTATTGATGTAGCTGGAATTTCGTACCCGGTCGAATTATGTACTTCAAAAACAAACTTTGGCAGTGGAGAGTTGGAAATAAACAGAAGCCATTTGCCTAGAAGTCAGTGTACCATCAGAATGAGATTAATATTTCAAGGTAATAAACTTAACTATAAATAATATAATTTTAAAAAGGAGGAATCCTTTCATAATTGTTACTGACGTCACAAGCTGTGCATACAACTATTTTGGTGTGTCATTGACTCTAAACTAGGTAAATACTTGGGTATTACTGAACATATGTGTATTATAATGCCATTTATAGCACATAGTGCACAACATCTTTTGTAATAGCTTAACAACATGTGCAATGTTACTAAATGCATTTTAAAATAAGTTCTTGCTTTAACTGGGTAAACAGAACAGCTCTGCTGAACCTCACTATCTCCATCCATGTCTGCAGCAGTGTATTTTAATCAGGAGGCACATAACCTAAAAAACCAAATTTAACTCTCCGTGTCTATTTTGAGGGTGTTATCACTCTCACCGTCTCTTGGGCCCCTGGTGCACTTATATGTGGGTTAGAGGGGAAAATTACATCTGCGGGCCTGTGCTCAGGACATTGAGAAAGGCCAATTAGTGCCCAAATCTGACATATAATACTCCACATGTTTGCGATTCCTTAACAAGCACTGAAATCTTTCAGCTCATTGGAGTCTGAAGCGCAAAGAATGTCCTTCAACAACCAAGCAACTGTTTAATAATTGAAAAGCTAACTGTCTATCATAAAATATTATTCCTGACAGGTTTATACAAACGCCCATAGCAGCCCATAATGTAATATTAATCAAGGTCAATGAAGAAATTGAGACACATTATCATTTAAAATGGCACTATGGCATCACCTTATGGTATAAAGGCGTAATTGCATAAAATGCATTGGGATTATATCACTTTAGATAAATATATTAAAGCTATACTACTCATAGATGAAGCATATAATTCCTTATATAATTCCTTAATCGCGTTAGACTGTGTGAGATATTTTCATTTCTGCAAGTCACACTGTTGGGGGTTTTCTAATCCCACAGGGATGTAAGCATGTGAGACTAGTCTATGTGAAATGTCAGAGATAATGTATGGAAAAGATGCCTTTAAAGTGCCAAACACAGCCATGAGGAAAGGTTAGGATGCCTCCCACTGCTGCTGAAGTCTGAGCTTCACTGAATCATCAGGAGCACCAGTGAGACTTGAGTGTCCTTGCAGGCACAGAACTCCTGCAGAGCTCTGACAACTGACAAAGAGAATGGGTTGAAAAATGTATGTAGTCACATACAATAACAAATAATACGTACCCTTTTATTTTTGCCCTGCAATATTGACGTAACAACTGTAATATATTTAATACAATACATAATAATAATTGTAAGTACTATACTAGTCTTATTTGCAAGTGTCTCTTTAATCCAACATAAAGGGTCTGATATAAAAAGAACAAACTGACATTGGCAGCAGTAATGAAATGCAGCACCGGAAACTGCTTGTTCGCAATCCCTTTCTAATGTTAGGCCATAGAGCACATTTGAGAAAGAGAGCTCATTGTGCCAGGTTCAGAATGAAATAGTCCATTATGAGAGCTTACAACCATTACAGAACAAGTACAGGTGATAGAGATTCATACTGCATGCAAAACTGAACCCAGTCACTTTGATTGTGAGAGACTGTGACAAATATGGCAGTTTAACATGACTTGTACTGAACAACAACTCCTTTCAAATTCATAATCACATTAATTTAACTTTTACTAACATCATTAACTGACCTTTTGAGATGACAGTATTATGTAAATAATGTTTATGCTGCACTGAATGACCTTAAATTAGCATTTTACTATATTACAGTTTTCTGAGAATTCCCGAGTACATAATTGACTAACTGAGATTTGAAATGCCATTTTTAATCAATTTCTTCAAATTCATTCTTTACAAGACACATTAAAAGCTGTGACACCTTTTCCCCTAAAGGGAAATGTTAAATTACCAGATTATTTTTGAAATTGTGTGAGAAATTTTTATTTAAAGATGTTATGTGCCATTAACAGCTCCAATAGCAACTACAATATAATAATAATAATAATTTACCATTTTCAATCAGGTTTTAGTAACATTCCTCCTCTGCCAGTTTTCAGACAAATGACAGGTCCTGCCTAAACTCACGCCATTGGTTGAGCCAGTGTTGCTGCTGGGATGCTCAAACAAAAAGAGCAGTTTTAACAGAGCAATAGTGCTACACCTCTCTTGGGGGGGGAGCACATCTTTAAAAAGTCTATTCAAACAACGGAGTAAAATCACTGGAACAATCACACCTGACATTCTGCCTTTGAACAGTCACTCAGGAGAGTCGCTGGTGGCACTGTAGCCACTCAAGAAGCAGAAAAAAGGGTTCGTACTAAAATATTTCCCAAGAAACTACTGCATTACATGTGAGGTTGCTGGTGAGAGCTGCACCTGAGAAACACGCTCATTTTTAGAATCTCTCATCTGTGATGTGTGAAAGAGCTTTCACACACTTGAGAAGTGTGTGAGAGAGGACGGGTGCAAATGCACTTTTGAAAAATTGATTCCCTTCTATGTCTAAAAATAGGGAAAAAGGTTCATACATTCATATATGCTCTTAGAGTTTGTTATTCTCTTACAATATATGTGTATGTGTACAGTACATAAATATAAAAATTCAGGGTCAGAAAGATTTCATTTTTTGAAAGAAATTAATACTTTAATTTAACAATAAATTGACACGTTAAATTGATTAAAATTACAGTAAAGATATACTAAAGATTTCTATTTCAAATAAATGTTGTTTTTTTAACTTTGAACATCAAAGAATCCTGAAAAAAAAAAAAATCATGGTTTCCACAAAAATATTAAGCACAACTGTTTTCAACACTGATAATAAGAAATGTTTCTTGAGCAGCAATTCAGCATATTAGAATGATTTCTAAAGGATCATGTGACACTGAAGACACATAATGGCTGCTGGAAATTCAGCTTTGCCATCAAAACAATCAATTCCATTTTAAAATATATTACAATAGAGTTCTTTTAATTTGTAATAATATTTACTTACTGTATTTTTGATCAAATAAATGCAGACTTGGTGAGTATAAGAGACTTATTTTACTTTTTTTATCTTATTGACCCCAAACTTAAATTTAAAATATATAATTATATTACTTTAATTATGCTTTTATAGTCCTTAAAATGACCAGTACATTCTTCAAAATTCTTCCATTTGTGTCTCTCACACACACACACACACACACACACACACACACACACACACACACACACACACACACAAGTATACAGGTTTGGACCAACATAACAACCGTATTTCTTTCTGGGTCTCTTTAAGGAGTGAGGAAAGTGAGTTGATGGGAGTTTCACAGTGTCGGCTCACATCCTGCCATCCCTCAGGAATCGGTGTCTCATTCAGCACCTGCTGCGACACAGTCTGGCTCAAGCGCTCTCTGTCTTTCTCGCCTCATCTCTTCTCCCCTGTGTCACAGGAGCGTGAGTTCCAGCTGACCTGATGCTAAAAAGTGCGAGTGCTGGCCTACTTACACAGTCCTCGGAGTTCTCTCAGGTCAGGCGCTGCTAGCACAGACACACTCATTTTAAGACAGTGCAGGGCTTGAAGCACTAAGAGGACTCACCTGACAGACCAGCAACAAGCTCCTTCAAAGGCACTTCATGTACCTCTTTAACTATCTTGCAAACATTACTCTCACAAAATGGATTTTTTTCTTAAGACTAGAGGAGAATGTCTGAAAAGATATGTATCATGTTGAAAGAGCGAAAGAACAAAAACACAGACTCGTGAGTGCATAAGTAGTGCCTTAAGAGTCCCATTTCCCCCTTGAAAACCATTTGACCCTTGTGAAACCTCTTAATAAACGTACAGAGCAACATCGTGAGGGAATAGGGTTGAGCTCAGAAACACGTTTTTAGCATCTTCATTGCTCTGTGATTGTCATTAACAACTGTGTGTCATTGTCCTGAGAAGCAAGGTGCTGGTAGAACGTGTCCTTAAAAGCACTGAGTGAGGTTAACAAACTCAGATTTGTCTTTGACCTCTGATCTTGTCAGCAGAACTAATTCCAGTTCAGTTTCCAGAAAGTTAAATTAGATGATTGGCTGTCAGAGGATTCCGGCGAGTCCCAACGAGCCAATCAACGATGACGAAAATTGCGTCCTGTTGTTATTATTACGCAACAATTTTCAGCCAAGATTCCCTCTGGAAAGTCCTGAGAGTTAAATAAGAAAGTGAGCAGTCAATGTACACACAGATACATTGTGTATCTATCCAAAAAATATTTCTCTGATAAGGATAGTAAGTGGCCATGAAGAACCTTGAACATCCATGAAACCTTTGCACTCCACAATATACTATATAAAAATAAAGGTTCTAAGAGAAGGTTTTCGTAACGATGCAATAAAAACAAAAACAAAGAACCTTTCAGTAATCAGTTTTTAAAAGAACCATTTTTTTCTTAGTGTGAAAAATGTTTGAATAAACTAAAGAACATTTTTCCACTATAAATAACTTTTGTGCAATGGAAGGTTCCATGGATTTTAAAGGTTCTTCATGGAACCACTGATGCAATAAAGAACCTTTATTATTAAGAGAGTAGAGTGGGAAAACATTCTTTAGATTGTTCTTTACACTAAGAAAAAGGGGTGGTTCTTTTAAGGACTGTTCACTTCGGGAAACCTAAAATGGTTCTTTATGGCATTGCTGCAAAACCCTATTTTCAGAACAGTTTATTTTTAGCCAGCACTTTTCCCCAACATCTGTTTCTATATGAGTGTCAAATACCTTGTTTTAACTAAATTTTTAGGCAGAATCACATTTATCTTTCTTGGAGTAAGAAAACCCAGATTGCATTGCAGTAAGTTCAGTGAAGAAAATCCAAGATGGTGGACGAAGTAAGAAAAACAAAGTCTAAATATACTTGTATTTCATTTAGTGTTGTTTAAAATGAGTTCAGTATAATTCAAAGTGGGCTATTGTACTCAATACGTGCGTGCTATGTGTTTTCATGCCTTTTAGAGAGTTGCGCTGTTAGCTTAGCGACATGCTAACGTCAAAATCCGTTGAGTCGTGTCACACAGAGTTGCTGCCTAGCATTACTTATTACAGTTAGGTTCCCTTAGAAGCTAGCTGCCTATGTAGGCTGTCGGCAGCTCTTGTTTTGTCATATGATTTATGTTGTTTGCTTTGCTTTTTTAAAGATGTCAAATTAAACACTCAAATGTGTAAGAATTTTAAGCCACAATGCTAACTGATCAATAATGATTTAATTGTGTAAGAAAGCAAAGATGGGCTTACCTTTATCTGTGCCTTCAGCTCTGAATATCATTATTCTGTTGATGAAAATATGCATTAGTTACATACATATGTACATACATATGCATCAGTGTTATTTTAGCCTATTATTTATATACTATTATAATATTTGTTATTTTGTAAAAGCTTATATTTTTATATTTTATTTTTTAGTAATCAAGTAATTTTGTTGCACTGTTTTCTTGCAAAGTTGAAACTTTTTATTTCTATATAGCTTTAATTAGTTCTTATTTCAGTTTTATTTTTAGTAGGCTAATTTTAGAATTTCAAAAATAGTTTTTCATCTAATTTATGTTTCAGTTTTATTTCAATTACTGAAACTGATTTTAACAAATTTAGTTTGTTACCTATAACAACACTGTTTATGTGTTTCCCCTCACACACAAACCTTTAGCTTTGTTAGCATACTTTTTGGCCCTCAGCACTTTCCGCTTTCCCTGCGGAGGGATGTTTCTCCAATTAACACATCCCAGAGCCTCCAGGAACAACTCACCCAACACACACACACACACACACACACACACACACACACACACACAGTGTC